CTCGGCGGCCGGCTTCTCCGCCGGCGAAATCCTCATAGCGCCGGTGAACGGCCGATCGAAAAGTCGCTTCAGACGAGATTTAGACGCCGGCGGCTTAGTCACTTCGGCTGCTCTGATCGAATCGATCGGCTGGATTCTCATCGGAAAAGGCATCTTCAATTAACTCTTACTGTAGGACTTAATTATACTCTGTTTCTGTCAGTTGAATTTGAATTCTCAGAGCTCTACGAAAAAACACTGCTCTTCTCGGAAAATTTTACAAAAAAAACCTCCTTCAAAACTCTAAATTCTAGTGAGAGAAAAAGGAAGTAAGCCAAAAATTTAATACAATTAATTCTTCAACGCACTAATTCAATCCGATCCCCATCATTTCCACACAATCGGAACAAAATTTCACACAAATATTTACTCAAAAAGAAAATCAGAAAACTAATAAAAAAAAAAAATCTCAGTATTCGGTTATGGCTTTTTCGTGAAAAACGTGACGGTGGTGAAAGGAGACACGAACAATGTATTTGTAAGGGAATGAATCGGAAACAGATGCCGGAATATTTATTTTCCGGCGGAGCCCCATCGCCGGAGGCCGGAATTATATTCGATTGTTTTCTTTGTTGTGTTAAAAGTATTTCTTTCTCTCTCTTCTTTCTCTCTCTATATCTGTTTTGGTTTTATCCTAAGCTAAAATGAAGAGGGGTTAATATAGGAAACCGGAGTAGCTGACTGGACCAATGCTGCCACGTGGAGTCTCGCGTGTAGTGGATTAGCCTGAAATCCGGGCTGTAATCCAGTGCGACGAGTGTTCAATTTTCTGTAACCGCAATCCTCTAGGATTTCAACACTTGTCCTTCCAATTTGTCCTTTTTGGTTTGTTTTTGTTTTCGTATTCAATGATTTTTTCTAGTATTGAGTCAACTTTTTTCTTTGGTAAATTACATACTTAAATATTATAAGATAGATAAATAAATGTTACATTTTTTTTCAATAAAGTAGACTCCTATGAGATTTATAATTATGATTACAATAAATCAATCTTTTAGGGTATTGTCCATATTCTTTTTTATCTTGTCCTTAAGTGTTATTTTGCGGTTTTAAATTATTTGTCACTTTTAAAATTCTAATAATACATTAATTACATTTTTCTTAATTTTTCCCTTATCCAATAAGAAAGTTGTTTTATAATATTCTTTTGCTTTAATTCACACATGTTTATTGATTTCTTAACGCACACGTAACGACCAAAAAACGACAAATGTACTGTAACGTAAGAAGTTTAAAATATAAAGTTACCTTTCGTATTAAATTTAAATTGAACTTTTAATTAATTATGAACGAATTCACACAATTAGACAAGTACAAAAGTTTAAGAGATAGACCGACCTCTAAAATTCATGCATCTCTATTTAATTTAAAGCTTAAAAGCACATTCATGCATTTGTTTTTATTATTCCAACGCATTCGTTGTTTGTTACTCCCCGTCCTAATTTAAATGACGTTTTAGGTTGTTACACACATATTAAGAAAACCAATAAATGTGTATAGATTATAGTGAAAAGCATAGGAAAATACTAATATATCCTTGATATTAATTATTTTACAACTAACAAATTAGGAGTGATAAAGGGTAAAATTGAAAATAATGCAATTAATGATGCATTGAAAATCTAAAATGACAAATAATTTGTGACAAAAAAAAAACTCTCTAAAAAGACATATATATGGGAAAGAGGGAGTACTATCTCCTACTCCCTCCGTTCCTAAATAGGTGTCGTTTTTCACCTTGGCACAAATCTTAAGAATCTCAATAAATATGTCTTGATTTCAGGAAAATAGATATTGATGGACCAAAATACCCTTGTTTATTAATTAATGCAGGAAGAGTGCTATAGAGTTAATAATGGTAAAATTGAAAAATAAGCAATTAATGCAGCATTTGAATTATAAAGTAACAGATAATATGGAACAAAAAAATTCTCAAAAGAGACAGATATTATGGAATAGAGGGAGTATTTAATAATTAATTAATGATTTCCCAAATAAAAAATAAGAAAATTAATTTCTCCTTTTTAGTTACAATATATATGCAATTTCCTCTTAAATATCTTGACAAAGACTTCTAAGAATAATAACGATTTAGCAGTGCTATACTATTATTCCTCTTCATTATTATATATTGTACTTGGAGATAACATTTCTTACCAATTTTAATTTATATTAAGTGCTCCAATAGTTAGTAACTAGGCTTCAAAAAAATTTAAATTTTGTTAGGATGGTCCACGTTGATATTTACTTCCCAAACAAAAGAAAAAATAAATAAATAAACAATTAAAATTGTTCTCTTAAATTTGATGCATACTTCCAACTCCCAAAGCAAACATAATAAAAGCAATCAACCACTCAGAATAGGGTGTTTTTTTCTGCTTTAAGGTGTGAATTATTAGATTTTTATTTTATTTTAATTTATATTATATTATTTATAGGTATTAAAATTGTATTTGAATTTTAAAAAAAATGAAAAAATCAAGGAAAGAAGTTGAAAGGTGTGGTTACACCTATCCCACCACACACACACACACACACAAGAAAGAAGGATTTCAATTGGTTCTATATATCGTGAAGTTAGATAATAATTGAAAATAATAGTTGAAAATTGGGGCTGAAAAATTGAACTATTTAAATAATAGTTGAAAAAAATAACACATGTATAGTTAGTTGCGAGATTTTTCATTAAAAAAAAATTGGATACTCAGTTCTAATTCCATTATAATCTGAACAAATAACATGGCTAATCTATTACACAAAATTAAACCTATGGAAATGGGAATATGGGATTATATATTCGACTAGAAAAACAAACAAAGAAAAAATTGTATGAGAAATTGAAACCAAACATAATGAGCTATGAACGGCTTTTTCCAACGAATGGAGAAGTTAAGTTTTCTATTACGGTTTAGTTCTTTTGTCACGTTTTCTCATGTATAACCCACAAACGATGGCACCAACAACTCAGCACAAAGCATAATCCCCGATTCCCTAGATCTAATGAAATCACTTAGAGTTTTGGCTAAGTCTCCCACCCAAACCCTGCTTTACGAGATTTGAATTCTCTTGTGTTTAATTTCCCTTACTTATAAGTAGATCTCACTCGCTTACCAAAGAACAAAGATCTCTGAAATCAACAAAGTTTCAAATTGATTTGTCTCCAAAGCAGAGAGCAAGAAAGGAACGACCCATCGTCATATTCAAACGGTTGTGTCGCCGAAAGATACCAAGAGGCATTCAACGCAAGGGTACGATCAGATGGGAGAGAGAGAATATATATCAGAAATTTAGGGTGGAGAATGACGGAGGTAAAGTGCCTCGAGTAGAAGGTTTGGATTAAACGGTGGAAATCACATGCGAAGATTAAGAATCTAGAGTCGTCCAATGATTTGACCAGAATTCGAGTGAACTTAAGTGTTGGACTTATGAATAGTTGAGTCGTCCAAAGAATTTGGGTTAATGGGCTGAATTCCAAATAATTCAGTTGAATCCAACATTTTTTATAAACTCAATTTGTCAAATTATTTTCTGTCTTTTACAATTTTTTTTTTTTTTTTGAGTAAATTCAAGTCCATTGCAAAATAAAATTACTGACACAAATAGAAAATATCAAATCAAATACAGAAGAAAAATACATCATATTATGTATTCACTCAATGTACGTTTTCCATATTCACATATTTATAATTTTATATAAATAAATATAAGATAATAAGCAACCCGATGAAATTCACTGGATGTAACATCGTCGATTTCGACAACTACCCCTATGGACCAAATACATGCCTTACACACAATGAATACTCACATATATACATACAAATGAACATACCTATATATACATATATGTCTTTTTCATTAATTTCACATTCAAAATATTGAATTTTTGTGTGAGGTGTTGGTATAGCAAATAGCGATTGGGCTTCGCTACATATAGGCATTTCAATTTAAATTTTGTATAAAATAAATTGAGAATACAGCCTAAAGAGTGGTCAATTTTTTGAAAAGGCTCTGCCTAATTGTAGCTTTTATTAGGTAATTATTATGATTAATTAATATATATGGTTTACAAATAATTATTTCAATGTCAGTTTATTTAGTAATTTATGACCAAGTTTACTTCACTATCTTAATTAAACTACACATTGTATTAGTAAATGTATGAAACTTGTATGTGAACGGCATATGCTTTGCTCCCCCAATAGGAAAACCCTATTTAATTTAATTTAATATTATGGACTCGTTTCGTTGGCAAGATACGATTAACGGAAACCTAATTATTTTATCGGATCTCGGGACGTCCAACAAAAAATCTCCCTGAAGGGCAAATATGTCACGATAACGTAATATTTACGGGCCGACCCAGCAAGTTATTGGGGATATCAAACATCAAACAAAGTCTTATTATATAGTTCCTAATGACTAATCTCCCCAATCAAACGAGGTCCACATATTTTCTTTTGGTAAAATTTGAAAATAAAATAAAATAATATTAATGATAGTTCTAACCACCAAAATTAAACTTATAACCACAACAATTAATATAACACCGGACTTACATTATACATAGATGGTGTTTGCAAAAACTTTTAGAAACAACTTCTCCGCTTTTATTTACTCATAATTTATTTTTAGTTGT